AATACTTTTCGAGATAATTAGTGTACCCACTTAAAAGAATCACCCTGTATGTTACTTTAATTTTAATTCTATATGATGTGTCAATATAACAACAATATTCAACTTAGGTATACAACAGTAATGACTAATGGTAGACTTACTTATATATGATTATATTTCGTACATATATGTGAAATGTGCAGACTGTACTTGAAGTATGTAATTATTGTTAATTTAAGCTTTTTAATTTACCTTCAACTTCCAGTTTATTGTGAGGTAAATAAATAAATAAATAAATAGGTAGGAACTTCTATACCTAAGATTATTCATTATTATAAGAAGAGTAACTGGTTTTATAAACAAAATTTTCAAACTAACCTGAATATTTCATCAGTTATTACTCATTAAGTAATACTGACATACCTACTTTATTACTTAATAGCATAATTCATTCATTTCACTGAAATATATATAGATATACCTAGGCATCCTATGGCTATATAGCTATATTAGCTACAGTAAAAAATAACAATTACGTATAAGGTTAATTTATTTAATAATAATTTTTTTTAACATGAATATATGATCCAGCTGATTAAAAAATTTTCAAACAAATTACTGTCTATTATAATAAATTAACAAATGCATTTTCAAATAAGTATTAGTTTAATAAAATAGACTATGCATAAAATTGGTGCCTATCTAATAGTATATCTAATAAATTCCATTTATTTATGGTATATAGAATATATGTGGAATAGAAATAAAGAACTTTCATGGGTTTATGCTTCTAGTTTCAAGTTTGTACCTATATACTTAGTTAGGTACAAGGTTTTTCATTATTCACATAATATATTGCTATTAGTTTTGTTTTTTGATTATAAGAAAAAAATTTCCTTAATAAATACAATTTAAATTTTTTTCAKTAAATATGCATAACATTCATATTTATAACTATATCTATGGTTTATTCGTAAAAAAGTATTATTATCTATAACGTCTATATAACTATTATCTTTTAGGTAGGTGTATATACTATTCGAAATCGCAATTATATTAAAATAGCAGTATTATTTAAATCATGTTTTATGACATAAATTATATCACAATTAAAGTAAGTAGGTACTTACTCATAATTTATATAATAAAATATATTTAAAAAGAAAAAATGGTTATAGCTAGCATTGRCTTACCTTTTGAATGATCTTGTATGAAATCAGGGCACCACGTTTTTAGAACATCAATAGATTTTAGGTCGGTCATCGGTTTTGGGGGTCCATCATAACGGCAATTAAGTGGTCGAAATTCGTCTTTTCGCTCACATTCTCCGTACCATATACAAGTATCATTAGCCTAAAATAAAATTTTTCTTTGAGTAAATTACTAAATAAAACTATAGAAGTATATTAGGTCCTCTATACCTATACTGCGCGGACACCTCGATAAAACATAAAACTATCGTGTGTTGTTAAGTTTAAAATAATCCGCGCCTCTATAAATTTGAGTAATGAGTACCTACTTACAAGTAACGTTTTATCTATACATGTTAATCATGACGTGCAGGTATATGTTTTTGTAAACACTTTTTATAAATATTTTTTGTTTTACTTATAGGTAGGTAGGTATAATCTATGCAATACGTTAAAAACAAATGTCACACGTTTAAAATATTAGCAAATTAAAAAATAATGATTTATCACCTGCGATATAACGAAACATTTAATTTTTGTAAATAATATTTTGGATATAGACCATACTACCATASTAAATAATTATCACTATACAACAGTAATTTAATTACCAAATTACGTACAAACATTTTAATATGGCATTATTTACTTCAGAATCGTAACTGATTATTATTAATTTGAAAACATAGTATGAATTATGTATTAAAATATGATACTTATTTTGATCAATTGCGTTATTATCAAAAATTAGGGTCTCGTACGCAATATACAGTAATATAATTTGGGAGATAGAAACTAGCTAATATATATGCGATATTCCATGAAAACGATATAACTATACTATGCTACATTCATTTTCATAAAAAAATATATTTAAACGAAATTTTGCATAGGTAGGTAATAACATTTCAAAATACATTATTTATGAACAATTATAAAACTAGTTACAGTGGATATTGTACTACCCATACATTTATTAAATAATATACAACTGTAGAAACAATCTACACCTACACCTATAACCAGTTCATTTTAGTCGTCCAAGCTCCTAGGACCTAAAGGTCACTAACAATAACAAAATAATGTTTGTTTAATATGCACATGCCATTGATTATAACTTATAATTTATTATGAAATTCTATAATGATATCATTAAATTTGATATCATATTGCCAATAACCACATTATCACAATATCTAGTCTCACACCCTCACTGCATTTAAAAAATTAAATGCATTTTAAACTATCCAATTATTGATTAAACTTAATTATATTCATACGTCAAAAAATACAAATTATAATTAATAATTGAAATATATTTAAATGRAGCATAGCCATTAACCACATAAACATAGGTACTTATAGTAAAAATGTTTTTAGATTCAAGTATACATATTATTACTATAGTTGAACTATACATGATTGTCCATTTAACGAAAAACACTCATTATAGCAGAAAACACTAAACGTTTTTGAAAATATTTCATTTACATCAGTATAATTTGTTATTAATCAATGTTTTTGGAAAAAAATATCTTTATCATTTCTTGAAGGTTTCTAATACTTTTGAACGAGAACCTCCATTTTAATCTCACATCCCGACGCAAAATATTATTCAAAAATCGAAATAGGTATTTCGATCTATAAAAATCAAATTTTGGACAGTTAATTATTAGCAAAGTATTTTAGTATTAAGTTATAACTTATAACTTGTAATAGTAATTAAAATTTAGATATAATCAGAGTAGTGAACAAATATTTTGGGAGGTATCCCTATACAATAATTACACTCAGCTCATCAACATTTTAAGTACCTACTTATTAGCTATAAGTTTATACTCAATAATAATTATACACTATAGTTATCCGAAATTCAATTTTTATACAATATCGAAATACTCTAGAAAATATTCTGCTTTAAAAATGTAATAAGAAACCAAAAATGTATGTTGTCATTTGTCAATATCAAAAAAAAAAATAAATAAATAAATAATTTAAAAAAATGTTTTATAAAAACTTAAAAAAAAATAGAAATAAATAAATATTTTTTGGAAAAACGTTATTTTTCAAGACAAAATTATATAAGTACCTACCTAAAACAAATACTTTCAAAAACTTTAACGTTTTTGAAATAACGAGTGCAGGCTCGGATAGGCCAGTCAAGCATTCAAAAAAATCTCGAAGGGCCGCTTAAATGTTGTRCTAGTATGAGAAATTTGACGCAATGCCCACGTTACGATTTTAATGACAGCTATATTATAAYAGTAGTATACACTATACAGTCAACAAACAGGATAAGATCATTACTATTTATTAATACTAAAATTCGTCCAATATGGGCTTATTCTATAGCAAATTACGGACCGATAGAAAAATATTTCTCGAAGGGTCGAGACTATCCAATCCTGCCCT